ACCAACCCCCACCATTATTCTAAATATGGGGTTCTGGTGTGGGCTGCCCTCCTTCCCTGGCTCTAGGACTGCCCAGTTGGGCCAGGCAATGTTCAGGCCCGGAAATCTTTCGATCAGAGCTCAGAGACCCGCTCCTTCCTCTTTAATGATAGGGGGAGGCAGGGAGTCCAGAGACTGCCTGCCTCCCTGCTGCCAGGACGGAGGGAGGCCCCCAGGGTGGGACTCCGCAGCCGCAAGGAGCAGAGTTGATTTTTAAATGTGTTTCCTAACGATTTTTCTGGGGAAAACCTCAAACAATGCAAAAGCTATTCTAAGCAAGAAAAAAAAAATTACTTAGGGTTTCAACGTGAGCTTTTCAAATGAGAAAAAGAATGGGGATTAGTCCTGGGGTGTGGATGCTGGATAACATAGCTCAGTGGAGGTGTTTGTCACTTCCCTGGTTTGGAGATAATTTACCTCTGAACAGAGACAGCACTGTTCTGAGAAGCTTAGAGCACCTTATCTTGATACTGAAAGTATTTAAAGATTCTTGGTTTTTTTTCAAGCAGGTGAATAACATAATTATCTACAGTATTGCAACCTCCATCCCCCCAGGTTTAGGACTTATTTACGACATGTGTGTGCACAATTAAAAGTAAAAATTAGAAAGCAGTGGCTCCTTTACCCCTAATTGTCTTTGTTCTCAATCATGAAAAATTCGGAACTTGAGGGTGTAAGCACTTTGGTAGCTTGGCTCAGGGTGTTTCTTTAGTTAACGAGATCAGAGAATGGATCATTTGGAGAGTGCTATTCTCAGAGCCTCTATCTGTTCTCAACCTTCCTGATGCCCTTGTGACCCTTTAATAGAGCTCTTCTTCCTCATGTTGTGGTGACCCCAAACCATAAAATCATTTCCGTTGCTCCTTCGTCACTGTCATCTTGCTACTGTTAGGAATTGGGCCACCCCTGTGAAAGGGTCGTTCGATTCCCAAAGGGGTCGCAGCAACCCACAAGTTGAGAACTACTGCTCTAAGTGGTTAGCATACATTGCATAAGTATAGACTCATTACTGATATAAGAGTTTTCCATCCATTATCTATTGTTAAATCTTCACAAGAGCCTTAGCAGGTGGGCATTGACTGTTCGACAGCCCAGTCCAATGAAAGGTGGAAAAGTCAATAGGCGCAAGGTTGTACAACTGGGAAGTCATGATCAGGTTCAAAGGTGCCTCCAGGTAGGCAGACGTTCTGAGTCCAGGCTCCTCACCACCACTCTTTTCAGCCTCTGACCTGTGGGTTTCCATTACAGTTCTCATATCAAGATTCACTTACCAAAATGTTTGGCATCATTCATTCAGCAATGTGTTAGGTACATGATCTGTATGAGCCATTTGATCACGATAACAACGGGTCCCGCAGGTTTTCATCCTGTGTTAAAGGAGGAGAGAACTGACTCAGAGAAGGAAAGTGTTTCCTCCAACCTCACAGCACGTAAGTGTCGGTGCCGGCGACACTGAGCTCTTGACCATGGTGGGTTACTACTCTCTCAGAGTCACCCAGAGCATGAGGGGAGGCTAGGGCTCAGAAACCTCCCCCTTGGAAAGGCCCCAGGACGTGAAACAGGCAGTGTGTGGGCTCTGGATGGGGAGCCAGAAAGTGCTGTCCACGTGGATGGCCTCTCCACGGTCCTGGTTGGGCTTTTACTTTGGTCTGCCAGAGAATCTTTTGGCTGCTACTCACACCTGGTTACAGGTTGGGCTCTGACCAGCGAGAGGAGTTGGTGGCTATAGCAGACTGGGGATTCTCAGAGTGGATGCTAGAGCTAGGCCATGCGAGTCCTGGAGTTTGCACCTAGCCAATTTGCTGGTAGAAGTAGGACAGATTTGCAGATACCATCTACCATTTGTCTTTCAGTCCGCAGAGGGCAGGTAAGCGTTTGTATTTTCGTCAGCATCGGGAGCTCTGTATGACAAGGAGACAGACTTGAGGTTGAGGCTGCGATTCAAGGAGCCACGTGGTTCGTGGATGGCGACTGCCATTTATTTGTTCCTTGGTTTACTGTTTCTGTGCACTTCGACAATGGCTCAGGTCGCGTTCTGGGCCTCGGACGACAACAATGAATGAGACCCACCACGTCGGCCAGAAGGAGCTAATATCCTAGTGGGAAAGCACAGGACACAAGCCCAAAAGATCCCCACCCACATCACAACTGCTGTAGCAGGAGCTGTTTCACACAGCAGGGCTGGGTAAGAGGTGTACGGAGGCTGGGGTGCGGTTGTGATTTCATCCGGGTGGCCAGGGCGGAGGGGACATTCGAGTGGAGACTGGAAGCACAGGAAGGGCCGGCAGTGTGGCTCCCTGGGGAAAGAAAGAATGTGTGGGCAAAAGAAAGCGCAGGTGCCAACTTCTTGAGGTAGGAACATGCTGGGACCTGGAAGGCGTAGCCAGGAGACCAGCACCTGAGGGGCAGAGTGAGGGGTGGGGGAAGGCCCAGGGATGAGCTGGAGAAGGAGACCCTTCTTGGCTGTTTTGCGGACCCTGGATTTCACTCGGAGAAAAATGGGAAGCTCTCAGCAGGACTTGAGCAGAAGATTGCCAAGTTGTGACGTGTGCTTTTTAGCGGGCACTCCAGGTACCATGTGGACGAAAGCAAGGGTAGAGGAGGACGCACACATTCAGCAACTCCTGCACTAGTCTGGGGAGAGATGCTGGTGGAGGGGACCGGGGATGGGTATCCGTGGAAGTGCCCAGAGATGGTGCTGGTCAACCAGGGAAGGAATTAAGGCGAGGGCCAACTGATGGGTTGTCTGCGGGGTCTGGAAGGGAAGACCCAGCTACTCCACGGTTTTGCTGTGTGCAACTGGCAGCGTGAGTTGCCCGTTACCAAGATAAAGAAGGAGTAAAATGGCAGGGGCAACGACGATTTGGGTAGGTTTCGCACAGTGATTACAGAACCCAGGACTGAGATGGGGGAGGATGGGGTTAGACCACAAGCTTCTCCAAGGAGGACTGATTTTGCGTCCTGCCTGAGGAGGAGGGTGACAAACGGGAGAATGTCCTGGCATTCAGTCAAGCACAGGTGGACCTAAGAAGAGAGCGAGCAGCTTGGACCGAGTCAGGAAGGGTAGAGAAGGGACACAAGTCTCCAGGAACCCAGACTGGCACCTTAGGAGCACGGAGCCGCAAGAAGCACCAGGAGCTCGGGGAAGGCTGTTCGAGGGTGAGAGGAGTCGGCAAGACCTCCAGGCAGAGCCAGAGCCTGCCACGAGTGTCCGAGGGAGGGAGTTGAGCTTGGATGTGGAGGAAGAGGGGGGAAAGGGAAAGGGGACTGGATGCAAAAGAGACACCTGACTAGAGGAGAACGCAGGACTGGCAATGCCCATGACTAGACCCAAACTAGGCTGATGGCAGAAACGGGTGGTGGGGGAGGGGGCGGTTCGGCTAGGAAATCAGGCTGGGCGAGTATTACGGAAGGCTTCTGAAGCTTTGCGCTGGATGGAAGCCTGAGCAGAGTGGGCAGGAGTGAATGGGCATCAGTTTCCCAATTGGCCTGGAGTGTGTTTCCACCAGAGCCCATCTGTTTAAAGCTTCGACTCTAATGACAAGATGGCACAAAACTGGATTCTAATCCCAGGGGACACCTACGTGAATTGGAAATTTTAAGCAGGCAGATGAGGCATTTGCTGTGCATATAAGTTAAGATTCTCTTGGAAGGGGCGTCAGAAAGCTTGCAGACAAGTGGAATGAAAAGATAATGGAATTTTCCCATGAGCTGTATGAAGCCCCCGTTATAATCCCAAACCAAAAACCAAACCAAGCTCACTGCCATCAAGTCTCTGCTGCTGCAGAGTGACCCCCGTTCTAGAAGGCCAGTCTTCCTCACTCAGAGCTGGTGGTGGTTTCAAACTGCTGACCATGGGACCGCAGCCCAACCGGCAACCATTAAGCCTCCAGGGCTCCTTGTAGGCTGAGATCCCTCTAAATATGAGTCTGTCTCCCGGTTTTCTATGCCATCTCATGTGTCAACCTTCTCTTGGTATACCCGTAGCACATTGCTTCTTCTACTGTCATTTAATGTCTTGCTAGCTGCTTGGATGAGTACCCCAGCTCACCTATTTTTCAGGGTAAACATAGTGATCAGCGGACAATATTCTCCTACATCAATTTTATGATAAATGTATCTGTTGTCTCCAAAAGAAAGTAGACTTGATGTTTGATTGGATTTGCATTGGCTTAATAAATTAACTTTAGGAAAATTGACGTATTTAAAATATTAAACAACTGTCCATGTTCATGGAAATTTATCACCATTTACTCAGATCATCTTCCCTGTTCATTATCAAACTTTTAAAGACACTCGGGGCTCCTAGTATAATACACTATATTATGCATTGTAATGAGTCACAGATTATGTGTTAATATAATTACAAATCTAATGTTCTTTACAATAATGGATATGTGCTAGCACTTATAATTTAGGTGTAAACTATCTATTCCTACATGCACACTCTTAGCAAGGAGTCCTTGGTGGAACAAATGGCTAAGTGCTCAACTACTAACAGAAAGGTTGGCGGTTTGAGCCCACCCACAGTCGACCACCCAGGGGGTCTGCTCCAAAGTGTTAGGCAGCTCCGGAGCAAGTAGTTTTCTTTGCACACAGGTGGTCAACCCGAGTCTGAATTGATCCAATAGCAACGAACACCATCACGGCCATGTTCTTACGGACAACATCAGCAGATCAGCTAGTAGTCACTGGGCCCCTTGACTTGGAACATTTAAAGTTTGCCGTTGTGTTCTTATTGTGTGGCGTTGACTTCAGTACAAGGTCTTTTATCAGCTCTCAGCAGATGAGTGTCCCTACTCCACTTAGCTTTTCATAGGTTGAAAGACTATCTTAGGAGGCAATATTGAGGTCTTCAAATTTCTTCTCTGTCTTCAGTATTATTCTTTCCCTTGTGTGTACGTGTGCTTAAAAGATGTTTCCAATGAAAAACCTCGTAACGAAGGTCATCTGATTTACAGATTACGGACAGCTGGCCTGGGTATGACTTGAACTTGTTCACATACCCGCAACATTATTACGGAGACTTGGAATACGTCCTCATACCTCATGGCATCATTGTGGACAGGTGAGCGGGCTTTCCTGTGACCACTTGGTCTTGGTGTTGGGCTGGGCTGGGCTGAGCATACTTTAGGACCCTGTTCTCAAAGCTCATTTTATAGCGGCAGAGAGAAATTATCTAGGACAGTGAATTTGGAATAAAAATGGATTTATGCTTTAAGCAAACTGCTTGCCTGGACATTTGTTCAAAGGCAATGATATGTACGCCGTAACTCTGAAAGGTATTGTGTTAGGCAAGGTTCTCTAAAGAGACAAAACCAGGTCGCTAATGATTATATGTATGTAAAGGGACAGCTTTATACAGTGAGAAAGAATATAACAGCAGTACTGAGGGCTCAGTTCAACCTACTTTCGTGGAACAGTTAATATACTGAAAGTACTTCAACTCAGGAGGTCTGCCAGCCCCAGGTCAAGGAAGCAGACCGAGGATTCTCCCCTCAGGCAAGACAGGCAGAGTCTGCCCGCAGGCAGCAGACAACGAGGTGGGTCAGCAACAGTCGGTAGCACCAGAAGGTTATCGAAGCAGGCCCCTATGGGATCTCGAACTCCTGCAATGCAGGGCAACAGGATCCGCCAGCCTCAAGCTCACACGCCAGCAGTGTGGCAAAGCAGGCCTCAAAGGTGGCTTCAGCTCGAGCAACAGGATCCACGGGTTGGCTTGCCCACAGGTAGAGCGGCACATGCTTGAGGCAAAGAATTAGCTCAAGCAGCAGCACACTGGTCTGATCACCAGGGCGGAAGAGAGAAAGGGGCAGGCCTTGGCAAGCCATTTATCTTGTGCCCCTCCAGTCAAGCTGTGACCTGATTAAACACCACCCACAGGTCCCTTTTGGCCTAGCTGGCACAATAAGCCTACCTATCACAGATCCCATAAGCCACACATCATATGTCACAGTGTCCCTTACAAACTGGTAAAGATGGGGTTTGGTAAGGCATTGCTTCTTGCTGAAGGATCTTTGATTTATGCTTTTCACTGATTCTTAAAGGTCCATGAAGGGAGAGCCAAAAAGTGAATTTGACTTTCCTTTAGGTCCTAAAGTTTAGGACATTTCCCCCAAACTATGGTTTTTATGGCAAATTTCATTCCTCTGAGATTGAGCATAATATCACACACAGGCCCCTCTGTGTACAACTGTTTCCCAGCCAACGGTAATGTTTGGAGAATAGGAATGTTTTCAGTCTAGAAACTATCTGCTGTATACTCTTTCTAGAATACTATGCTAGTTTGTTCTGTTCTGTCTACATAGATAGCCCCTGTGATGGGAAGAGGGCTATTCTCAGCTGCTAACTGAAATATTGGCAGTTCTAACCCACCAGCTGCTCCACAGGAGAAAGAAGCAACTTGGTTCTGTAAAGATTACAGTGCATCCTGTCTTGCAGGTTTGCTGTAAATAGGAATTGGGGCACTGAACTGGTTCACAACAGATCAGTCCTGGCAGACAGAAATAAGGGCTATGTAAGCATTGCAGGGCAACTAAAGCTCTTGCAAGTTGGACTTTAACCTGAGCAAAGAACCATGAGTGCCTTAACAAATGTGGATTACCTGGAGAAATGGGAATTTCAGAACCCTTCATTATGCTCATGTGGAACCTGCACATAGATCAAGAGGCAAATGTGCAAAATATAAACAAAGGTGCGTGTCAGGCTTGTTTCCTCTCATCATACATATTGAAATCTGTGCTAAGCAGATATTCAGAGAAGTAGGATTATATGAAGAAGAATTTGGTATCAGGATTGGAAGGAGGCTTATTAATCACTTTTGATATTCAGAGGACACAACCTTGTTTGCTGAATGTGAGGAGGACTTGAAGCACTTGGTGAAGATCAAGGATTGTAGAACTCAATGTAAAGAAAACAAAAATCCACACAATTGGACCGATAGGTAAGATCAGGATAAGTGGAGGAAAGATTGAAGTTGTCAAGGATTTTTAACCTGCCTGGATCCACAGTCGGTGCTCATGGAAGCAGCGTCAAGATCAAATGATGCATTGCATTGGGCAGATCTGCCCAAAACCTCTTTGAAGTGTTGTAAAGCAAAAATACTTTGAGGACTAAGATGTGCCTGACCCAAGCCATGGTGTTTTCAATTGCCTTCTCCGCGTCGGACAGTTGGACATTGAATAAAAAAGATTGAAGACTCAATGCACTTGAATCATGGTGCCGGAGAAGAATACTGAAAGCACCATGGATTGCCAAAAGAACATGTCTTGGAAGAAGTACAGACAGAATGCTCCTTAGATACAAGGATGGCAAGACTTTGTCTCACCAATTTGGACAAGATAGAGGAGAAATTGATGTGGCAAGACTTTGTCTCACCAACTTTGGGCAAGTTCTCAGGAGAGATTAATCCCTGGGAAAGGACCTCATGCTTGGTAAAGTCGAGGGCAGCACAAAAAGGAAGACCCTGGAGAAGATGGATGGACACAGTGGCTGAACTATGGGCTCAGACGTAGGAGCAATTGTGAGACTGGGGACGATGAGGGGCTGCGCAGTATTTCATTCAACGGTATGTAGGGTCGCTATGGCACCTAATAACAGCAACAAGGACACAGGTCATGGTGCCCCGCTCGAAGATGGGGGTCGATACGCATTCGGGTGGTAGAGTAGAGTGCCATCTTTGAGTGGGGCTCGGATCGAAGTTTAAGATTCGAAGATGTGGCTGCTAGCTCTGCAGTGCATGTACTGCCCTGGTTTCGCACCTCGTTTGTCTCTTGGTTTTCAGAATGCCTCGTATTCAACCTACTAGAGCACCAGTGTTTATAAAATATGCCCCTTTGACAGAGCCACCTCACTGCCGAGGCTGTCAATCATTTTTCCATGTACCTGAAACTTCGTGCACACAGGTCAGATACTTACGCCTCCCATTTGTATGAAAAACAGATGCTTCTGGATCTGTGATTTTCCCATTGCATCCCAAGGAGGGGTAGGGATGTCTTCACAGAAGTCAACATTAGTTGGCCTTGGGGATAAGACTCTCCACTCTGACCCTCTCCTGAAATCAGGCCGCGCTGCATCTAGATTTTCTCTCTGTTCCAGTCTCCTGAGTTAACATTGAACTCTGTGAAATAGGTCCGCAGCCGAAGGAGACTTTGTAACTTACTGGACGGTCCCAATTCCCAGTTACTATTTTTCCATTAATCCCTGTTCTGTAAGCAAAAGGAAATGTCATTCCCTTTCACCTAAATACTAAGATTTTCCATTGGCTCAGTCTTGTATATTTCTTGTTCTCTCAAATTATAGTATATTGTTAAAATAAAGCCTAGCTTGAAGTTTCTCAGGGCTTAAGACAGCTTTCACATGGAATAGAAATTCAGATCCTCAGAGGAAATAGAAGGTTCCGGTGTCAAATAAACTTGGGAACTGTTGCATTTCCAAAATTACTAAATTTTCCCATTGGTGATTCAAAACAAACACGATCGTATTAAAGACAATGTCTACCCATTCCATGCTAGGTAGGGGGAAATTTTTTTAAAACCTACTTGGCTTTAATGGTTAAGCTATTGTGTGTGTGTGTGTGTGTGTGTGTGTGTTCACCTCTTTTCTCCTCACTCAGTCACTTCTTAATAATGCCCTGAAGAGGTTTCCCTTGATACCAGTGTGGGAGCCCCTTGTTTAAAGAGATTCCAGATTCGGAAGGTTGAGAACTACTGCTCTAGTCCATGATGAGTCCTGAGTGAGGTTGCCCTAAACCAGTGGTCCATGTTCATGGGAATTATCTGGTGAACGTGTTAAAATGCACATTCCCAGGCAACTGGAGTTATGGACATGACACAATTAGAACACTACAGAAAACATTTCCACCTTAGAGGACGGAATACCAGTCCATGCAGCCTCAGTGTCTCCAGGGACCCTCAGTCATACTGTGTTCGTGAAATTGAGAGTGAGTGGCACTCTCTCTGGGGTACCTATCACATAGGCAGCATGCTATGTCCGTCAAATCACAAGTGCTTGCTTGCTCCAACCCACCCAGTGTGCCAAGCAAGGATTCACGTATCTGTCTCTGAAGTGGGACCTATGTGATATTAACAAGAAAAGGAGGCCTATGACTTATGTTTTTGGAAGCAGAGGAGGTTGCCATTAGAAATACACCTGACCAGTTTTCCTCATATCTCTATATAATTTTATTTTCAGCTACAACTTTGTTACTGCGTGGTCTTCTTAAATCAGTTAATACAATGGTGGTCATGGCCTATCAAATGGTCATCCTGCATCTCAAAAGCAAGTGCAGTTTCTCAGACGGTGTTCACGTGCATACGGCCAAGGAAATTGTGTAAAGTGTGAATTCCTTTACATTTTTTTATGCTACGTTGAGAGAATATCCAACCAATTTAGTTTGCATCTTTAGATAGCTTAATTTTCGTTTAAACGTGCATTTAACATATGGTGTCTCAAGTTTACATGTAACACTTTAAGCTTTTAAAATTCACATGTTACCTTTTGATGGTTACTTGGCTTTTCTCCCAAACCGTAAAACCAGTCAATTCTGGCCCCTAAGGTCTCAAAAGGTCAGTCTCTAATGCCCTGTAGGGCTTCTAAAACGGTGTCGATCTTTACAGAAGCAGATTCCTTACTTTGCTACCGTGGAGTGGCTGGTGGTTGCCACCTGCCCACCTTCACCAGTCTCCTAGAGACGTGTAAGGTGAGTGACTGGCTCCCCAATTCCTTGATCTCTGCTCTAAGATGAGCAGAGAATCACCACACAGCATCACTGTGTTAACCAGGCTAACAAACAGGCTCTGTACTGATAGCACAAGGAGAGCATTCATGACTTAGGAAGAACATCGATGATGGGCTGATGAGCAGTGTGTTTTGTGGAAGGCTGTGGAGGACAGTGAAAGCCCACAACCCATTTGCAGGATGTGCAGGTGACTTCAGCCCCAGGTGAGGGGTCCGACCGTAGACCAGGCATGCGAGTAGCTTTGCTCTCAGAGAGAGTGCATTAGAACGTGGATAATGCCGGACATATTCAGGTTAACGTTTAACCTATCATTTGGTTTCCCTTTGACCCATTTGAAATTTATGCTAGTTTTTAATCTTTTCTGCTTTCTTTTCTATTGAAATTTTTCTCGCTTTTAATTTGCTGTTGTGATTGTTTGTTTGCTTGTTTTGGTATGTCTTTCTATATGTGAAACCAGGCTAGGTAAATCCAGAGAGACAGTAACTGGATTCATGTTTTCTTAGGGCTCCTTCAGGGGAGGTTGAAGGGAACGGGGAGTGAGTAACAATGAGCATAAGAAAAAGAAAATGCTCTAAAATTGTGGTGGTGATGGACTGCATACCTCTTACTATGATTGAACTATTGAATTATGTGATAGGTGAATGATATGTCAATAACACTCTTTAAAAAGCGGTGTGTTTTGAACATCCTCTCTCTGTCCCATCTTATAAAAGTCTGCACTGTCCGTCAGTTCCCCGTATCCCAAGTCCTCTCCCAGGTTTGTCTGCATGGTGGGAAATGTCTACTGAGCCATTCACTTGTTTCTGGGGGGAACAGAACACCAGCAGCTGAGCTTCATTCAGTCTATCTCTGATCCTTTGCTTCCCCCAGAATTGAACGGCTGGCTAAGGACATCATGAAAGACATCGGATACTGTGACATTATGGTCCTGTGTGTGCTTAAGGGAGGTTACAAATTCTGTGCTGACCTAGTAGAGCACCTTAAGAACATCAGCCGAAATTCAGATACATTTGTCTCCATGAAGGTGGATTTCATCAGACTAAAAAGTTACAGGGTAAGTTACTGTATGTGCCAGTTTGATCCTATGTTGTGTGGAATGAGCAGTCTGTTAGAACATAGGTTCCCAAACCCTTTGGGCCCACCACCCCCTTTCAGAAAAAGAAAATTGCAATTTTTTTTAACGATAGCTCATTACTCAGGATAAAGTGTAGGTATCTGCTTTTGCAGCACCCCCTGGATCATTTCAGCCCCCGCCCCCTGGGGGTGGCATCGCCTACTTTGGGGAACACTGCTATAGAATGAAAGAACTAATACTATTAGGAAAATGAGGACTGTAAACATATGTATTTTTCATTTTGCAAGAATACTGCAATGTGTCATTCAAATCATATTCTTTGAGGTTAAAAACATTTTCACATTTCAGGAATGATTCATACTTTCTTTTATGGTTATGTTATTATTTCTTGGTGCCCAGCCTCATAAACGAGTGTCCACGAGGTTAGGAAAGTCTGGTGAATGGGACATTGTTTGGGCCCTAGAGACCTGCGTGTGGGAGGATGTCCAGCCCAGAAAGGAGGTGTTAGCACTTGTGTGGTCCCCAGCTGTGACGCGCGCAGACTGAGAGAAAGGATGCCTGTTGAGACAATTCCTTAGCAAGTTGGATGAGACAAGATTGGGGAACTTCCAGTGGAAGTTACAACTTCCACCATCTTCTGGTGGGCTTCCTGCGCCACCACTGAGTGGCATTATGTTCCAAAGAGGGGCGCTAGTAGTGTGATGCTTAAAGCACTGTGCTGGTGTACCAAAGGTCGATTGTGTGATTGCTTCAGCCACTCCAAAAGGCAAAACACCAGCTGGAATGCTGTTCCCATAGAATTTCATAGCCCCGGAAACCCTGGAGGGCAATTTGACTCAGCTCCATAGGGTGACTATAATAATCCCTGGTGGCACTGTGTGTTAGATGTTGAACTGATATCCACAAGGCCAGTGGTTCAAACCCTTCAGCCATTTGGCAAGAGAGAGACGAGGCTGTTTTTTGCTCATCAAAGGACTTTATCAAAAAGCGAAATGACAACCCAGAGAGTAGGAGATTTTTGGAATCATAAGATTCCTGATTAAGTGCATGAAAATATGCTTAGTGTCATTAGCCTTAAAGAGATACAAATCAAAGGATATATGTATGTATCATCCTATATGTATACAAATATATAACATATTTATATAAAATTATATGTGAAATATAAAATAAATCTATTTTATTTTATATTTACATATAATATATATATGTTATAGATTATATGTTATTGTCCACAGCTTAGCAACAAAAAGACAAATCACCCAATAAAAAATGGGCAAAGGACTTAAGAAGACATATCACAAAGAATAAAAAGTACATGATGGCCAATAAGCACATGAAAAAATTGCTTAGCATTATTCGCCATGGAAGAGAAACAAATCAAAACTACTAAGAGCACCTTGCTCCCACAAGGATGAGCTAAAAAAACTGAAGACAACAAATGTTGGTGGAGCTGTGAAGAAACTGGAACCCTTAGCCACTGCGGGTGGAAATGGAAGATGATACAGTTGCTATGGAAAATCTTAGCAGTGGCCCAGCAGTTCCACCCCTCGGGAGATCCTCCAGGTAACAGAAAGCGGTGGCATGAGCAGGCACCTGCCCACTGCGATATCCATTGCAGCATTATTCACAATAGCTACCAGGTGCAAACAACCTCCTCCGAATGTGGCAGAATGTGGCATCTACACACAAGAGACTAGTATTCAGCCTCGAAGAGAAATGAAGTCCAGAACGTGCTAACCGTGTGGACGAAGTTTGAAAACAATGGTGAATGCAATTGGTCAGTCAGAAGGACGAATCCGAGAGTAAGTGAAAAACATTGCCACGAAATCATACAAAACTTTATGACACAAAAGACAAGACGCTATTATTCCTTGGTATGGCGTGCATCCAGGCACGTCTGAAGGTAGTGCTGTCTCTGTAACACAGCCCCAGAGAATCCCCGCCTTTGGTTTCCACACCATCAGAATGGCAGCTTGAGCATCTTCCAGGGACTCAGATTGGGTTCCTTTTAAAGGCCTCTGAGGACTCTCTTGAATTAATGTTGGGCGACTAACCACAAGGTTGGCAGTTCAAACCCACTAGCTATTCTGCTAGGTTTTCTGACCCCATAAGGATCCCCAAGAACAGTGTCTATAACCTTTTGAATCCTCTCACTACTGTGAATTTAAGGGGCCCCACAGATCCCATCAGAAATTGGTTGTTTTCATAGGACCTTTTTTTCCCCAGCAAAATAATTTTATTTCCTGACACATGGATGTATACATACACATACACATCCAATATGTGTATATCTTGCACATCTATGAACGACTACCATATTTTCCAAATGCCGATCTTTTTGGAAGGCACTTTCAAAAAAGCAAAACAAAACAAACTGACTGCCAATTGCATGAATTCTGACTCATAGAGTCCCTGCAGGCCAGGGTGGAACTAGCCCTGTGGGTTTCCTGGCTGTCAATCTTCATGGGAGTAGAAAGTCTCACCTTTCTCCTTGGGGAACAGCTGGTGGTTTCAAGGCAGCTGGTGGTGACCTTGCAGTTATCCGCACAATGTGTAACCCACTACAACACCAGGGCTTCTAAGCTTCCTTAGTAAGAGACAAACACCAGTGTACTACTGAGCGAACTAGTCTGCAGCCAGCCACCGATTGCAGAAACCTGTTTAAACCTGGGCTTGTTTGAGATAAACCAGTGCGTATATAAATTGGAAATACATTAGCAATACTTCTTGTCTTACCCTTATGTATAGGGATATGTGAATGCAGATGCATATATGAATGGGAACCTTTAGCAATGCCTTTTTTAAGCATCCCCTTGTATAACTGAAAGACTGGGCTTTCTACTCCCATAAAGAGTTATGGACTCAGACGCTCTCGGCAGTTCTGCCCTGTCCTATTGGCTGCTATGAGTGAGCATCAAGGTGATGGCAGGGAGTTTGGTGTTTTGGTTTGTAGAGGAAATAGTAAAAATAGGCAAATGTATTAAAACTCAAGTTTTACTGGTAATTACCAACAGTGGGCGGCAGGAGTCCAGGGGAGCCATTATTTGGGAAGTAGTGGCTTTTGTTGATGATGATGGGAAAGTTGGCAGTGATAGATGACCACAACCTGATTCTTGTGATTGATACTGCTAAGTGGTACACATGAAGAATTTAAAGCGACACATTTGTGTGCGTCACTTATATTTCCAACCAAACCAAACACCGGGTCAATGTTGACTCATAGCTGACCCCCCTTTGGGCTTCCGAGACTAAGTGTTTATAGGAGTAGAAAGCCCAGTCTTTCTCCCGGGGAACTGCTGGTGTGGTTTCAAACTAACAACCATGCGACTCACAATGCAATGCATAAACAAACAAAAAAAGAAGCTTAAAAAATGAATTAGTGAGTGTTCTCTTTTAATTTACTTTTTAGAAATTTTGGGTAAAATTGGTCTTAATGGTTACCTGTGGTAGTTATATAATCATTTGTCAATTTGAGAGGATTAAGAGTGAAGGGGTGAAGTCTAGCCTGTCAACCAGGTCACAGCCAATGGGGCCTCTTTGTGAGCATGGCCTTCTCCTGAGGATTCTGGGAACTCCTGTATTCCTCCTTGGAGGCGGGAGACACTTTCTCTCGGCTCACTCCCTGGGAGATATTGCATCTGACAAGACACATGGAGCTATGCTAGAGCTATACATAGCTATAGCACAATAGATATTAGCCCATATGTCCCATACCAATCTATAAAGTCCTCTTCAGACTCACGAAACACATGCAATGACGCCGAATGCAGGAAGATCCCAGGCCATTGGGTGGAGACTCTTGTGGATCCAGTGACGGTGGAAGCATCTCGGCGCTGGTGTGGGTCTCCATGTGGCTCCTCCAGCTCCAGGGCTTTGGCTCCATCAGCATAGCTCCATGTGTCTTGTCATCAGGAATGTCTCACAGGGAGAGAGTGTGTCCCGCCTCCAGGGAGGAAGACAGGAGTGCTCAGAATCCTCAGAAGGCCATGGCCCCCTGATTGAAAGGCTAGACTTCACCCCTTTGCAAGTTGACAGGATACTATGTAAGTACCACACTCGCCACTATAAACATGAAGTTCTATATAGATTTTTTTTGCATTAAGCACGTATTTAGCTACATCTCACAAATGCTGATATGTTGTATTTCCACTTTCATTCAATGCAAGCTATTTTCTCATTTCCCTTGTGACTCCCTCTCTCGCTTGTGGGTCATTTCATGTGGGGCATTTTCCAACTATCTGGGTCCTTTTCAGAGATATTTCCATTTTAATTTCTAGTGTAATCCTCTTACTGCAGAAATCCTCCATTGTAGGCTTTCAGTTCTCTTAAAATTGCCGAGGCTTATTTTGTGACCCACATTTGGTTTATTTTGGTTAAGCTAACAGCTTTTTAATGCCTGTCAGATTACACACTATCTCCTCTGAGTTCCGCATGCTTTTCCATCGTCTGGTTCTCTAAGCAGCCCCTCTTTTTTTTTTTCTTCTTTTTTCAATTTTTCCGGAGGACCTCCCTCAGAGACACACTGTCTAACACTTGTACACCCTGTTACCCCATATTTAAATGACACAACAGCAAAACAGGTTCAAGCCAGAACCTGTATAAGGCAAAAACCTGTCAGAGAAGGAAAGCACGGATATGCCCCACTACTGCAGAGTAATAGCAAAGTAGACAGACTGCACCTGTCAAAGGCAGAAAACTGTTGAGTCCCTGAAAACCAAGGCATGCCCCTGGAGTTCCTGTTCTCATCAATTCCACTATAGTTCAAAGCCAACATTTGCATTTCTAAAAATCCAGTCATTCTGTGATCATTATCACCACCAATGGACAGGTATTTTCAAATCCATCTTTCCCTACCCCTGAGGATGACCATTCTTCACGACCTTCATCCAGCCCCACATCGTGCTGGTATGAACTGAGCTTTTGTCCCACAGCCCTACCAAGTCCTGTAGGACCCAAGGGTGGTGCAGCACTTTCCT